GTCTTTTTTGAAGTTCGACCCAAAATCACGAACACCAGTGCAATGGTTTTCTTTCAATGCGTTTATTAGTGGGCGTGCATCCTCCATTTTGAAATTATCCTGGTCTGGAAATAAACCCATCAGGAACTATTTTCAATTTAAATTCTGGCAGGGGATACGTTTTGGGCTTGACTGCTTTGAGCCCCTTGGCAGAGCAGGCAGCCATCAAAGGAATTCTTTATAGCACCATGTTGTTGCAGAATGGCATTTGTGAATTTTTTTTAGCTCCGCTTTAGGTTAGGTGTTGCCGGATAGCTTTGCTTGAGTATACTAAGCTTCACTGCCCTCAATACTTTCTTGAAAGGTGCCGGAGTGGTGTCAATATTACCATCACAATATGACGAGCCAGGGTTGTCGAGGCTGGAAACTTAGCCTAGCTCAGACTTCAGGGTTCAGCACGTTCTTCTGAGTAGAGCAGATTAAGCTCTTCGAACACTTGCTTATCACATTTTGTATATCTGAAACAAAGCTCACAGTATCATTACCAAAAACACGGATAACACTCAGGGTTACGGGTTTTATCGAGTTGGATTCTTTTTTGACGTAGAATACGTCTTACCTTAAGGTATGGGGGCTATGTTCAAATGTTGTAGTTGTAATTTTTAGAGCTTCACAAAAACGCTTATTGCACGAGAACTAATAAAGCGATTTCAAAGAAAAGTGTGGCGTTTCAAAGATAAAATTCCAAACCTGTCGACAGATTCATTTTTGTAAATAACCAATTCGGTTTCTGTCGTAAAAACAACGGTAAACATTGCCTTATTTTGGGGTCAATTTTGAGCCTTTAAAGTGCTCTAGCAACTTATTGTTAACATATATAACTTTCATTTTCGGGATATAGGTTCTTTGGAGCAGTAGAAATATTATCGGGTACAAATTTTATATAAATTTAACAAATATTGAGCATTTTAAGGCAAAAAATTTTTGAAAAAATTTGCAAATTTTTTTCATTACCAAAATGCTCGAAAACCGCTCGAATGATTTTGTTTTTGTTTTCTTTAATCAAAAATTCAAGAGTTTTCCTTTCGTTTGGTATATGAGAAGTATTGGTTGATATCTTCTATATATGTTTATTTTATTCAAATATATGGGCATAAATGATTTTCCATACAAAATCACCTCGTCATCATTTTGCAAACACGTGCATATGTTGGAAGTGTGGGAAGGGGACAAAAAGTATGTATGCGTATGTAATGCGGCTTTTGATAAACAGAGGCGCGCTATTTATAACCTAATCGCAACGTGTGTACATATGTAAATACATAGATACGTACATATGTTGATTGCAGTTAATGTGGATCTGTTTCTATTTTTAGTAATCTATGTATGTCTATACATACATATGTACATACATATTATATATGTACATACATATATGAACACATGTATGCATAATACGCGAAGACTTTTCGAAGTGAAACAACATTTAGAAAAAGTCCAATCCAAGAATAAAAGTAAAGGCGAGGACGTACATAGATAAAGAAAAGGATAAAGGCCAAGGTAAAAATAAACACAAAAACAAAGTTGAGTAAAGATAAAGGCAAACATGAAGACCAAGGTAAATTTAAACACTTTACTTATATGTATAAGTGCAAAGGTGAAGGGGAATATGTATATGAAGAATATGATAAACATAAAAATAAAAACAAAGATAAATATAAAGAAAAAGATGCGGATGAGGATACCGATAAAAGTATAGATGAAGATAGAGGAAGAAAGATTAAAATAAAGGTAATTGTAGAGAAAAGGATATAGATAAAGGCACAGAGACTCAATCTCGGAACTATTTCGGGATTTTAGGGATTCTCGGGACTTATCGATATAATCGATATTTTGTTGGTTTTTTTATCGATTTTGTTATCGAAATTTTTATCGATATTGTTATTGATTTTTCTATCGATATTTTTGGAACTTATCGATATAATGATCGATATTTTTATCGATTTTGTTATCTCTTTATTATCGATTTTGTTATCGATTTTATTATCGATTTTGTTATCGATATTTTTATCGATTTTGTTATCGATATTTTTATTGGTTTTGTTATCGATATTTTTATCGATTTTGTTATCGATTTTGCTAACGATTTTGTTATCGATATTTTTATAGATTTTGTTATCGATATTTTCAGAACTTATCGATATAATGATCGGTTTTGTTATTTATTTTGCTATCGATATTTTCACTTATCGATATAATGATCGATATTTTTATCGATTTTGTTATCGACGTTTTAATCGATTTTGTCATCGGTTTTGTTATCGATATTTTTATCGATTTTGTTATCGATACTTTCGGAACTTATCGATATAATGATCGATTTTGTTATTTATTTTTCTATCGATATTTTCCGTTTCTTATCGATATAATGATCGATATTTTTATCGATTTTGTTATCGACACTTTAATCGATTTTGTTATCGATTTTATTATAGATTATTCATCGATTTTGTTATCGATATTTTTATCGATTTTGATATCGATATTTTTATCGGTTTTGTTATCGATATTTTTATCGATATTTTTATTGGTTTTGTTACCAATATTTTTATCGATTTTTCTATTGATATTGTTATCAATAACCATACCACGTATTCTACGTTTAAATATAGCGGCTGTATCTCCGATACAGCCTGCAGACCAAGACGAAGGCGCTGGACTGTTCCTTTTTTTTATTTAGTAAAAATTAATAGTATCTAATGCAGAAGGTTAATCTTTTAAATGGTTTACTGAATTCACGGGTGGTAGCTTAGGGGCCCGATGTAATGATATATGGAGCTATCAGTATAGTCTATTTGAAATGGCTTCTTTAGCATACAAACCTTTTTGTAACCGCTGTAAGTTTTGCTAAAATTCTTAAATATTGGTACAAAATCCCTGCAAGTTATTGAAAGAATTGTTTGGCAAGCGTGCGTGTTCTTCTTCCACTTCAATCGGGTCAGTGGCATAAAATGTTTGGAAATCTTCTTTTTCTATGATACTTAAATCACGACATTGATCCGGTGTGTCCATTCGTAATCTCATGGCGTGTAAGCAAAACAGGCAAAGGCCCATAAGAGTACTTATAGGAAGGATCTTTATCTGCTTTTATAGAAAGGGAAATGTTGTTTCAGCGTTCAGCGGCTGTCAGAGTGGTGTGATGTCTAAAAAACTTAAAAGCTTAAAAGTCCTTTCTCGATAGAATGTGACTGGTCGTAACCTTCCTAGCCAATTTGTCGGCTTTTAAATAATCCTGAATATCCCGTTATCCTGGTCCCCAAAGAAGTTGATTTTCTTAATAATGAGCATTTAGCAAAGTATTTCGTGTCTCTATCTGAATCTAAATATTTCTCGGCTATCTGAAGATGAAGACTTGTTTCATCACAGTAGGTCTTTGAGCAAGGCTCCATGCTGGGTTAACGATATTAGAAACCTTGAAAGGGAATTCGGCTTGCTGACAACGAAGCCGCCTTGATTTCGGCACTGCAAATTGATTTAGGTGAGAGCGCTTTAATTAGCCCAGCTTACAAAACTTTTCTTTAGCTGAAGGAACATGGGAGTAATTGTCATGAATTGTAGATTTTTTTTTGAATTTTTTTCTAACAAAAAAAATATTTTAGCGCTCGCTGGATCACTGTGCAGCAATGCCATGCGGCATTGTGTTAAAACACGCCTTGTCTACGCCAAACGTGACACAACAAAAACCAGTTTATCCTTGATCTATGCGCACCTCTGCAACGCAGTGAGTGCATAGGATTATCTCAATACAAACATAAATACGTACGTAACATACATACATACATATGCAGCAGCACGATTGTGGCTTTTTTAGCCCCATACATAGGCGTGCTATCAACAGCACTAAATTCATTGGCTATACGCTTTTTATGTAGCTGTGTATTTTTTGTTTCTATGTGTGTATGTATGCATCAGGGTAGCCAACTCGTGGTGAATTACGCGATTTGCGAGGGATTTGAGTTTGATTGGGGAATCGGGAGATGAACTGCTTTGTTTTGCTTGACTGATTTCATAATGAGGTAAAAAAGTCGAATAAGAAATGCAACTGTAACTAAAAGCACTGATTATGCATTCCTGCAAATTATACAAATTACCATTGAGTAGATTTTTTTGTTGACGCATTTGCGTTCATATAACTAAAAAAAAAAAAATTTGTATGTGAAAGAAAACCGCAACACATTCGGAAAAAAAAATGTTTACGAAAATTTTTAGCCTTATGAAACTTGCACTTACTAGAATTTTGTGTGATACAAAACTGCTTACTTAAAATCTTTCTAGAAAATCTAATTAAAAAGCTCGATATTTTTACGAAGGTTTGTCGAATTTTTTTATTTTAATATTACGCCAAGTTTTAAACTTGGATTCATACGGTTTTTGTTAAAGAATTAACCATACACATTTTTATAAAAAAAAAAAATAAATCAATTTGATAGCAAAAAAAAAATATTTAACTGTGAAAACTTTTTGGACCACTGTATGTGTGTAAACATTATATGTAAATTTTTTTCTTTATTTGTTAACTAACTTTATAAAAGTTTGGTTTGGTCTATGAACACATTATAGCTGAATTACATAAAAAAAAGCAGATAGTCAAAATGCAAAAATTTTTTTTTTTTTTTTGTAAATAAGGAGATATCCATGAGTGGGGAATTTTACGAAATTTCCGGCAAAATCGGGTAATTTCACTGTCGGAATCGGGGAATTCTCAAAAATTAGTTGGCTACCCTGGTTATATCCATACCATATATGTATATCGCGAATGTGTGAGCATGAGTTTTGCATTTTGCGATGCTGCAACATGTCGCTGCGAATGCAATCGTTGCAAAACCATACAACTAACGAGCAAATAGGTGACTAGGCGCGCATGTTGCATGCAACCTTAGAATGCATTGAGAAAAAAGTGCAAACAGAACTTTTTGACTCAATTTTTTATGAGACATTTTCATTCTGCTCTTTCGTTTTAGCCTTTCAGTGATGCTGTAGTGAAAATATAAATAGCAAACAGATATATATGCACCAACCTACACCACAACAACAACAACAGCAAACAAAAAAAAAACGCAGAAAAAACCGCCTGTGGGAAGAACAGGACAGACACCAAACAAAAAAGGGGTTTCATTATCTGGGCAGCGTGTTGAGGCGTAATACAAGTTTCGGTGACGCGACGCGAAATTTTGCGACACACAGCACAGCTACAGCTACAGCTATAGCAACAACAACAACAGCAGCAATAAAAAGCGCATAAACTCAGCTTAAGTTGCAAGTACTCGTACTCACCTGCTTGTGCCGTTGCACGTCTCGCCACTTGAACCCACTTCGCGGCAGACTTTGCGGCGTAGACAAAAGTAATTTGCGTTGCTCGGCCAGTTCTCGTCGCGGTTAAAGAACCCACAGCAATACATACCACCTATACGAGTACTTCAACGCCAGACACGATTTGGTAAGTTGCAAGTTAGTGAAGAATAAAGTGCAATCGCTGTGGTAAAAGACGAAGAAGGCGAAGAGCGTAGTTTAACGCTGGTAAGCTGATAGTCGAGGCTTGAACTAGACAAGTTGCTTTGGTCGCCGCTGGCGTTGCTAGACGACAGGCTGGTAGACAAACAAGCTGATAGGCAGCCAGTAAAGGCGAGTGTAATCGTACTTTGTTTTCAAGCGGTTGGCGTCGCAAACTTGTTGTCCACGGACGCGTAGGTAGGTATCACTACGTGCCGCTGGAGTAATAATATAAAACAGCGACAGCAACAGCGCAACCACAATAATAACAGCCGCAGCTGAAGGAGCAACAAAACAGCAGGAAATTACAGCGTAATTGGTGTACGTGTCGAAGAGGTGAGTTTTATTCAATCTTACTCGTATAGAGTCTTGGCTCTTCTCTGTCGATTGGGCAAAAGTAAATATTCAAACATAATGTGGCATGCTGGTAGGCAAATGCATACATATGCATGTAGAAATGTGTGTACATTGAATAGCAATATTTTTGCTAATGCAAACCCCTGCATAAATACTAGAGATGCCATTTTTAAATCGATTAAATCAAGATCGATTATTCCAGTCCTTTGGATTACGTTTTTGGTAGATTTTTTTTAGTTCCAATTCGCTTCGTCCAACAATTAAAAAAGTCGCAAATCGACATTCGATATTTCCACATTTGATGCTTCAGACAGTATATATAAAATTTTAAGGAAATTGCCATTTGAGGCTTCCCACCCACCTCAATTTGAGAGAGCAAAGACCAAAGAATTCAATGACCGGCTCTCTTACTCCTCCGACTACAAAGCTGCTGAGGGAAGTCTCCTGAAAATAACTCCATATAAAATTATGGGTGTTACTACAACAAAAACTCCAAAAATTGGAGTTCTACACTTTGTGCAAAGTTTCATTAAAATTTTGCAAGCCTTTAATTACTCTTTTAAATAAAAATGTGTGTGCAGTGCAAGTTTCAAATTTCTTTGACTTACTTAAGCAACAACTCAAGCAAACATTCAAGCAAAAACAACAATTCAAGCAAAAAAAAAAAAAACAAAAAAAAGTAAGAAAAAAATGTAATGGGCCACACTGCGTACTAAAATAGTTTCTAAAAAGTGAAATTTAGGCGTGAAATATAGAGTTAGCGAAAACAAAAAAATAGAAAAAAATTTACATATTGCAAAAATAATCTGTGTAGGTAAGCTTTATTGTATTTGCCTATATATAACACATTTTTTTAAATAGCGGTCAATATTGAGGCAAAACATAAAATTTTTTGCTTCTTGATAATTTTTTTATTTTTTTTAATTAACTGTATTCTTAAAAGGGGCTCGAATTTGTGAACCCATATACCATATCTAACATTTTTTTTTTGCAAAAGTTATTACGAACTGTTACATTATGAACAGTGTATATTTTCAAAATTACTTACAATAAATGTTTATGATTTCAGTGTTGGTCAGATGGCATTGTTTTGTTTCTTTGTTAAAATTAAGTAAAATTTATTATTTGACCAAATATACGAATCGATCTTGGGATAGCGATTTATTTTCTTGACAATTTCTTCCTGCATCGATCATTTTTATTTCGATTCGAATCACTTAAAATATCGATTTTTTTTATTTCTATCTGGCATCTCTAATGCATTCATCGTATGGGCGAATACATATAGGATACATATCGTCGCCTGGGTAAAAGATTGTCGTAAGCGCCATTGTGACGATTTTTAGTTCTAGATGCAGTTATATATTTTGAAATAAGGTCTCTCGATTGGGGTTATCAGTTTTTAGATATCTCCTTTAGTTTCCGAGATAATGACTACAAATTTTTCGATAATTTAGTAAAAATTTAGTTGGTGATGCAGTCATATTAAACTAATCAATGTCTTAAAAATGGCATTCTCCATGTTTGGATATCTCCTTTAGCTTCCGAGATATTGAGTAAAAAGCGTCGTTAATTTGGTAGAAATTTTGATCACATTTTTTCGTATTTCATTCAAAGTGACTGCCAAATTGCGGACAGACATGGCATAATCGAATTCTCTATTCATTCTGAACATTTATGTACTATACATTTGTCTATATCTATTTCGTTTCTTTTTGGCTGTTACAAACAACCGTTATGTGAATAAAGTTATAATACCCTTGTGCAAAAGTGCGCTCGGTTATAAAAAATAAAAAATATAAAAAATAAATGGTGATAGCTATTAAACCAGTTTAAGAAAGAATCAGTGTAAACTGAAGAAAAAGGTTTCCAATGCTCAAGTCTGAATCTAAATTTTAAATTATTCATGAGAATCGCAGAGAACAACAAATTGGAAAAAATATTTTCTCAATTAAGCAGCTTTTAATTAAAGCACACAAAATTCTTAGATACAATTATTCTCTGCTATGAAACACTTCTTCCTTTCTTAATGAATTTTTATGAAGCCTTCTACAATTGCAAAACACGTTGCGAAGTAATGAACCGCCATTTCATTTCACAGAAGTGTAAACTACGTATTTTTGACGACGTTTTGTGGGTGACTTTTGTGCTACGAAACTTTCTAGCCAAAAGTGCGTATGAGTGTGTCTTTCACATACGAGCGAGTAGTTGTGTTACTCACACACTTCAGTGAGTTTGGCAACAAACACGTATGAAAACAGGGCAAAGTATATTGCAAACAGTCAAAATGGTAAAGTGGCAAGCAAGTTGAACAGCCAGCTATTCTCTCGCAACTCGAAATTACCAAATTCTCCACCCATTTTCACCATTCAGACACATTGCCAACCCACTGCGAATCTTCGTCTCCAACTTGTTACAGGATAATTGAAAATTTTCGTAAGTGAATGGAAATGTTTGCAACAATTGAATATTGTCGTGTGTTCTCTAAATGCACTTCTGATATTGTATATATATGTATATGTATGTATGTATGTGTGCATGGGTGTGCTGGTGAGTGCATGCAATTGCATATTTTCGAGCTGTTGTTTGCGAAGTGCATGCGAAAACATGAACACATAAATATGTGGACGTGGAGGTGTCAAGGAATGTATGTAGGTATTTGTAATTTCCTTTTTTACATACATATATGCAAATACTTGCGTACGTTACATATGTATGGACCCTGTGGGGAAAATCTCTAGATCTAGAAGGTCGTAAAAAGTTAAAATATTAACAAAAATTTTAGTTTTGTATTACCAAATTATGAAAACGCAACTGCGAAGTGCAGACTGAAAGCGTATTTGAACGAAAAACTAGCCAAGCAAAAATCTACTTAAAGCAAACAAGCAACCCCCCCCCCCCCTGAATCCCTTTTTCGGTAGTTCCGAACTAGTTCTAAATTCGTTATTATAGATATAGATTTCTGGAAATAAAATTGTTTTTAAAATGTACCACATCTCGCTACTTTTGAACTGGTGGCGATCTAGTTACTATCGGACTGGTTCGTTTTTGGCGATAAAGAGCCAGTACGGAACTATAAATTTGGTTCACCAGTTCGGAGTTTCACTACAGGGAAGATGGGAGCTTCTTTATGCAACGTTTATAGACATATGTATGTATGTATGTGTACAGAGTGCATGTGTATGTGTAAATTGGTTGTCCACACAGTGACACTGTAAATATTTTAAATCTCTTATTTTGTCGCAAGCCAGCTGGACAAATGTCCGGGCATGAAAAGAGCAATGCATGTTGTTCCCACTTGTACTACATAATTTGGCCCGCATTACGATGTGTGAAATAAAACTAATGACAAAATATTCTAATCAATTTTTAACTTTAGCCAAAAGAGTATATTTGGAATGTGAAATTTTTTGCTTTCGGCAAGTCGTCAAAAAAAAAGGTGTTTCTCATAAATCTTTTATATGAATACTAAATTGTTCAATGAGACAACAAACTTTTTTCATCGGGCTACGTTCAGTGAGATAACGGTGGTTGTGTAAGATAAGGGATGTACTTGGACATCTAAGAGATTATCCTTTGTGATACGACGTAAATCTAAAACGGCGAGCACTACTCACAAAGTAATTCTGGCTAAAATATTTACAAGCCTTTTGTAAGTCAATTGAAATGCAGTAGACAAGAAACGTTTGAAAGATTTTGTTTGTCTAAAAAAGATCCTTTGCCAACTTTCAGGGTGAAGAGGTCTTTTGCCAGAAAGCTCTTGAGTATGTTCCAAATGGAGATGTGTATCACTTTGCCCGCGCTTTGCAGCGGCATTTTTTAAGTAAAATTTTTGCTTAATTTTTAGATATTATTATTTTTAAAAGAAAATTATGTTTTTCAATTTTTAGAAACTTTTTATGGAGTTTTTCTTTGGTTTGATTTAAATTTTTTTAAATTTAATTTACTTTGAATTTTTGGAATGTATTGTTTAAAAAAAAAAATATTTTTTATTTTCATTAAATTTTTAGATATTTATTTTTTAAATTTTTTAAATTTAATTTTCTTTTAATTTTTAGATTGTAGGGTTTTAAAATGAAAAAAAAAATATATAAAAAAATATCTCATTTAATGTTAAAAACTTATTTACTGTTTTCTTTTCTATTTTTTTTTTTAATTTTTAGATTTTTTTGTTTTGTTTGTTTTATCTAATTTTTAGAAACATATTGTATTTAGTTTTTTTAATTAATTTTGTATTTTATTTAATTTTCTTCTAATTCTTAGATCTTATGGTTTTAAAGAGCAAAAATTATTTTTGCTTTATTTAATTTATTGCTTAGAAAAGTTGTTGCCAAACAAAATATCGCTAAGACCTCCTCGTTAGCAGATTTTTCAATAAGTCTTTCGAAAGACAGAAAATAGCTTTAAAGATAGTTGCCAGAATAGGCAGTTGTCTTACGAAAGGCTTAGCCTTTGGAAAGACTGTGGTGAGTTAAAAGCCCGTTGCCAGAATTTTCCTGCTATTTGACGAACCACCGCAAGCCGATAACAAAATTACGAATGTGGCTAATTTCAATGACTGATAGCTCCTCAGGGCTAGTCAAGAAATGCGAATCAAACTTTTTTAACCTTAGCGTCACAAAGGCTGGGTAGCCTTATAGCAAGTACTGAAGTTTGTACACCTCATCTTCTTCCGGCAACTGCAACGGGAACGATCAGGTAATATTCCCATCCTTACCGCTTCTGAATACCAATGCGACAGTGGCCTGCCAGAACATCCACCACCAGCGGGAGCTATGGCGTTTCAACGAGAAGAGCTCTCTCGACCACCTCCTATCCACCCACGGCCAGACAAATTTTGGAATCACACATACCCGAGTTTTCACCAAGATCTCGCTGAGCTCACATAAGTCCCTTTCGTCAAAGAGTGAACTACGGGAGGACGATATGCAGCCAGATAAAGATTATATGTGATAAAAAAGTACTACCTCGCAGTTGAA